TTGAGAAAACGTTGAACCACCAGCCCCAGACCCTGAGCCAGCTTCGAGTGTAAAAAATGTAAAGCAGGCCGGTCGCAAATCAGCAACAGTAACAACAACATCGACAACAACAACAACAATTATTTAGCTGGCAAAATGTATATTGATTTGAACTTTGGAATGATGTCATGCATTGACTTACGATCGCAGACAGATATTCAGATTAGAGGAAAACCCCTTGAGACCGCTCAAGTGGAGTGCAACATGCGTCTGGGCAGTGGTGCGCTAGCTGTAGCAGGAAGTAACCCATTAGTCAATCAGTTGATCAATGAAACTTTCGATCAAACAAGCTTCAAAACTAATTTGCAATCTTCAAATATTGAAGAATGTTTTTTCTTATATTTAATACCCTGTAGCTAGATTACGTACTTTATTTTATTTATTTTTATTTATCGATTATTTTATTTTATTTATTTTATTTTATTTTTATTTATTTTATTTTTATTTATCGATTTGTAAAATATAAATTGATTAGGGAAGTATATAAACTTTGAATAGAGGTTGGTAAAAAGTGTCTCATGATGATATCCTAATGCTCGATATATATCGATTTCTAAGCAAATTAGCTTAACTTTAGCATTGGCACAGCATTGAACATTGAACATACTAAACAAATAAAATCAAAGAAAATACTTTGGACTTCGACACTAGCTACAGGGCATCTGGTAGACGAGCAAATTTTTATTTTTATTATGATGAGTGGAAGCACTTCAAGTCGCTCGCTATAAATAGCTAAGCCGATACGAAGCTGACTTTAAAATTGGCTCGTTTGATAAGCGAGCGGAGCGTAAAGGAAGCCAATGCTAGGGCCACACGGGTCGTATGCGTGATATGCCGTGTTGACCATAAAGCAAACAAATACGTATACGTATTGATCATACGCAGCGTGTGCCAAGCGTGAACCTACCGCAATGGCAGCCGCCCACACATACACACACACACACACACATAGAGCCAATTAGCAGCTGCTGAGAACAACATTGGCTAATGCATTGCTATTCTCATTATTGTTGTTGTTGTTGGTGTTTATAAATAGCCTCAAAGGCAGGGCGCCTGGCCAAATGGACTTTGTGGCCAACATTTCTGGGTGGGCGTGGCATGACCGCCTTGTAATGCCAACAACACAGCGTGTAAAAATAACTGCATAATTTTAGTTTATTTTCTTCGCTTCTCTCTTTTTTTTGTTAATTGTTTTCGTTTTTTTTCTGCGCTTTTGCCAACTGTCTTCTTTTTTGGTCATATTTTTATGCAGTTTTGGCTGCTTATGCGAATTGTCTGGCAAATTTCATCAGCTCTTTTAATTTATGCATCATTAGCGATGATCAAGTTGAGCGTGATTATGATAATCATAACGGGGCGTGTGATGATCTCTTTGGAAGCAGCCCAACAGCGAGAGTGTTGTTGGTTCTTCGAAAGAAAGGGATCGACTGGATGAGTGGCAGGCGTGTCGAGGCGTGGGGGTAGCCGTAACTGTCTGGCTAACAAGGTTAAAAGCAGCCTCTGCGCCAGGGCTGGCACAGCGGCAGCGGATCAACGCACTCCAGGCGAAACACATTTTCGAAACAAACAAAAACCAGTCAGAACGTTGAAAACGGGTTGTCGAGACGGCGTAATACGCTGGGCAGCGTTTAAATACAGTCGAAAGCAATATCCAAAGTGGCTCTAAAACTGTAAAAGAATTACAAACTGTGAGCTTGGGACATTCAAATTGATATTTTCAGAAGATATTTTAGAGAAATTGAGGATAAGCTGGACTAGGGTTGGGTACGTAATACCTTGGGTAAAGTGCATGAAGTTTCCTCAATGAACTCAAAACTGTGAATACCAACTGTGACTGAGATATATGTTTATCGATCATTATGAAAGAGCTGATCAACTTGATGATTACTATTTGAATTTAGTTAATGATATAGCATTAACACGCCCCCCTTTCTCTCTCTCTCTCTCTGTTGTTAGCCCTATGATAACTACTCTAAGATACACTGTTGCTTACAAGCTATATCTGAGTTTCAGCTATCCTAAGAACACACTTTTACAATCAAGAGCAAAGCTTGGCACTCAATATACCCCATTGCAACACTGTGACTCAGGGTATTTGTACAAAATATAAATGAATGACAGGAGCACAAGGTAACTGCACCCTTGGGTCAATGATATCGTCACGTATGCGATACAATTATTCAGTTATGGCAGCAGCAGCAGTGGCAGCGGCAGGCATCAACCGAGGCAGTCGCGGACAACCTCGGAACTGAGGAAGTTGCTTGACCTGGAAGTGGCCGCAGCCCGTTTTGACCGCGAGAGTGTAATGCACCATGATTATGGCCAAGCAGATATAGAGGCTGTCACAGATGTACGCAGCCAGAGATACAGATGCACACACTGGCAGAGATACAGCTGCAGTTGCTATCGCAAATACAGATTAAGCTATAGTAACAAACAGACTGAAGGCTGTGTCTATTGACATATATAAATATAAATAAGGAAACATAATCCAAAACTTAAACATGATCTTAGATACGTTGTCTACAGATACGGATACAGACAGCTACTAGATGAGTCAGAGTCAAATATACGTAGCTTGCTCACAAGATGTTCAGATAGATAAGCAGTATAGATACATTGCGACAAGTAGATACATTGAGCTTGAGGAGATGGAGATGCAGATACATTGTAGATACAGATATATTGCCTATAAAGATACAGATACATTGACTACAGGGCGCCACGGTAGAAAATACAGATAAAGATATTAATGAGAGCCACAGAGACAGATACTTTGTTAAATATGCAGATACATTAAGAATTGAAGACACAGATACAGATACAGCTGCAATTCCATTATACTATTAGCGACAAATACTTTGTCTAAAGAAGTTGCAGACACATTTCTTATAGGAGATACAAGTACATTGGCAGTTGAGGACACAGCTGCAGCTATTTGATTAGAGATGCTGAGAGCTACAGCCTTAGATACTTTCTCATTTGTAGTCACAGATACATGCACAGGCGAAGATACAGATAAAGATACATTGTTCAAAGGAGGCACAGAGACAGATACTTAGTTAGTTGCAGATACAGATACATTGGCAGTTCAGCACACAGATACAGATGCAGCTACAGATACATCTACCGCTACAGCTACTTACGGTTTGTTGGATATTTATAGGTTTTTGGGCGAATGTCGAATTGCATTGCAATCGCTGCCCGAAAAGTCAAACATAAAAAGGCGGGGCGAATGAACGCAGCGAAGGCCAACGTGGCGAATACTTCATTAACGACGTTGACCGCAGTTTAGGCAGGGGCGGGGGAAGCAGGCAGCGGTTGGTTGTAGGATGCAGCAGAGTTATGTTAAACGCTTTCGGCTAATCAGCTGCGCCATATGTTACCGCGGATTATTTCCCGCATTTTCTTCATATTTATTGCCCAATGCATAAGCGAGTCACAGCCGGCCCATAACCTTCCCTTCCCTGTGACCCTTGGCAAATGTCCCTTTTTTTTAGCTGGCCTTCGTTACGTGGCGCTCAGGAGGAAGCATTTCATTTCCGGCACTGTCGACATTTTCAAATCTATGAGCGTCCAATGCAAAGCACCAAAAATTTCCATTAAAATGCAATAGGTGCAAATTAGAAGACAAAAAGCCCCAACTCAAAAAAATAAAAAAAGCTGAGAAATATATAAAACCAACTGTGAATAAATTGCTCTCCCGTGCGTAGCAAATGTGCACGACTGCAAATACCTTGGAAATACGGGTAATAACTGTACACAACAGTTAAATCTAATTGGAACCTAAACAATTCCAATACGTTTCTCACACAAATGATATAATAAATGGAAAAAAAAAATTATTTATATTTCTAATCTTGAAATTGATTCCAGATTATTGATTTAATCACGAATAAGTAACTAATTTTAATAACTGTTGTAAATAATAAAACTAAGAATTAATAGCCACTTCTGATAAGATAATTACAATTTCCAAAAAAATCGAATCAAAATTATGTTCAATTCTTCTAAAATAAAACAGCCTGAATGTATGCTTTATATTTAAGTTAACGACCTAACATTGCCAACTAATATTTGCCGCGTTGCCAATTGTCAGAAATTTACCTATCGATAGTAGCTGCGATATTTCACAATATTAGGTGAGGTTGTGGCGCAGCGAACAGCTGCAGTGCAATTCGCCGCGCTACACGCGTACGCGTCTCTGCCGGTATGCTTTTTGATTTGTGTAATAAATAAGCCATTTATAATTATAACAACACATTTAAAATGTATTAAAAGTAGAGAGCAACAGCTGCAAAGTGTTAGCAAAGTGAAGTGTATAATGGCATTAATTGTATGTTAAACGTGCGTAGTGTTTCGGCTTTTTGTTTTGATTCTTATCATGCGACGAAACAGACGGCCAAAGCGGGCGGTGCAATGAAAAATAAAGTAAAAACAAAATGGAAAAGCTGCCAGAATGCGCGCGCAATCAACAACTGAGCGAGCCAACGAAGCAGAGAGATAGAGAGACCCAGGGAGAGAGAGCGAATTCACCGGTTTCTATGCTGTTCGCTGCTTGGGGCAAAAGCTTCAAAAGCAGCGCAGCAACGACGTCGCCGTCGACGACGGCAGCATTTAGTTGTGAGCAAGACTTTGCACTGTTCGGACGTTGTTCGCCGCACGCCCACGCTACGCCGACGCCGACGCAACACGCGACAACAGCAGCAGCAATAACAATAATAACAGCAACTCGAGCTATAAGCAACAATTGTAATGCCAATAAGACACATAAGTTGATTGGAATAGAACGCCCGCCCATTGCGTTGCCAATCAGATTCCCTTTAAGCGATACCGTTACATGAACTCGCGATCGTCGCGCGCCTCGTTTAAAATTAATTAATTATTAATATGCACGCTAAAAGGTCAATGCAAATCACGTACATAATTAAAAAGAAATTATAAATATAAATTATCAAATCAAATCAAATATTATTGATAACTGCATGCGAATTGCATTCCAATTGGAAAGAAATAAAGGTGCTTAACGTGTTTTATTTTCCGCCGGTAAATGTGAATGTCGAATGGGCAAACGGATTTGATGTAGACGCCGACTTGGACGCAGCTCTACACATTGGAGCAGCCCCCAACCCCACCAACTTTGCATTGGTAGCAAACAATGTCACGACGCAAACAGTCGAATCCAAAGCCGTTGAATAAAGGTAAGTGAGAACCGCTCCTCCGCCCCCGCCCATTTACACCTGCTACAAATACAGAAAAAAAAAACAGCTATGTCAGCTCGTAATATATGTTTTGGGGTTTTCCATTACGCGCGTGAAGCATGTGAACGATCTGAACCCAAAAAAAAAACATATAGATATGTATTAATGTATGTGTACATATGTATACATATGTATAAATAATTATAATAATAATGATAAAAAAATGAGCTATGCGATTGTCAACTAGATTTGAGCTTATTTTTTTTTATTTAAATGAAATTTCTTTGTTAACACATTTAGAGACACCTGACCGATGAGGGAAGGAGGTAGGTTAGGGGTCTAGGACGGATATCGAACACTCCCTATTATGTGTATTAAACTAATTACATTTCGTTGTTTGTCATTTGATATATGAGCCAGAGCTAAGCCAGAGCATTCGCTTTGACCAATGAATGCATTTTGGAATCGATAATACGTGCCCCACCTGAAGCAACGAGCCAAAAGTCTTCGCTAATCGCTAACGGCTCCAACGTTGGAGCGCTCCTTATCGCGAGCACGTTTCACGGTTCAGGTTGAGTTGGATTTGCTTGTACTTTTGTTTCTCTACTTATTTATTTATGTTTATATTTCTTTTTTGTTGTTTTGTTTTTGTTGTAAACAATGATATCACCCGAAGTTGGTGTAAATGGAGTGTGTGTGCACGCTGATTGGATAAAAATGCAAAAGAAACGAATTATCTATTCATGAATAGTAACTGAAGTCTATTCTACAGAAGATATTAAATATATCGATAATTTTATGGGTACATACTGATCGTATAATACTAATATAAACAGGAGACTGAAACTTAATGTGCGTGTATACACTGTATTCTTGATCATGAAATGAAAGACTATGTATGGAATTTCCCTGAACTAATCAATTTATTTATATATATTTACATCCATTAAGATCGAAAGGTAATAGAAATATATATAATGGAATTTTTATATAACAAATAAGTGCTTATGAAAAATACACCCTAGCTAACAATAGATCTGTACATGCAGTACAGTAATAATACATATTTGGAATATACTTTAAATGAAATACGGACACACTATCCAAAAACATAGACATAATACATAAAGTCAATATGGTTAACAATGCAACTCAGTAAGGAGAGCAACAATAATAAATATGTAGGATAGATGTTCATTGAAATATGTATACTTTGCGATGTTTATCATAATTAGAGTAAATACATTCAATGCTTACACACTGCGTAACAAAGGAATAATTCAAACAACTAATATATAATATACACAAAATACAATATGTTTACGCTGCCGAAGGAACATTCAATTCAAATGTGTACACACTTCATATAAATACGTATATAAATATAGCATTCAAATGTATGTACACACTGGTTACAACTTGTCGATTTATCCTTTCTGCGAGATGGCCACACACATTCTAAAAATAGGAAGAATTATAGCTATACAGCACTTACATACATTCATATATTAAATATGCATGTGATGTATATGTGTGTGTGCACACTGTTTAACAGCCCAACTAAGCAACGGTTACAGTTACGATAAATTAACGCGCTTATCTATGCAGCTGTTGTTGCTGTTGTTGCTGCACCTGCGCCGTTTGCTTTCTTCCATACAGCGAACTATCGCAGGCTAGGCCAAGTAGTGTCCCTCTCCCTCTCTCTCCCTCTCTCTCTCTTTCACTATCTTTGTCTCTTTTTCTGTTAGTTTTGCATACTTATCTTAAGCGCATTTGCTGCTGTTCTTATTGCTAACTGTTGTTGTTGTTGTTTGACATTTTTCTATAGCTTTAAAGCGCGCAGTCGATAAACTTTTATCACAACTGCAGCAGCAGAAAACGAAAACTGTGCAAAAGTCTTAGCTGCCGCTGCTGCTGTTGTTGTTGTTGCTATTGCCGTTAGCTTGGGTGATATGGCAACGCCGTTGTCGTGCCCAGTGTTGGTAACCGCAACTGGGCTGCAGGTCACAGACCAAAATAGATAAACATTGCGTTTGGTATTTTCCATCCACTGTTTGTTTTTATTTTTATAAATTTTTAATAAACTTTTATCACTAATTTTATGCTAATTGCCAGCTGTGCGCTGGCTGTTATTATCTAGGCAAAACGTAGAAGTAGAAAGAGTCGCTGAGTAACAGACGCGACCAGCACAACAACATGCGGGCGACAATTTCCATTTCCATTTTCATTTCCAATTCCAATTTTCCAAGTAGAACTCCGGGCTTGAAAAGAAAAAGAAGAAAGAAAAAACTCAACTCAACGAGTGAGCGCGTCAGCAATCGCTGGGTACGTGTCATGCGGCTTATTTCAGTGTTGATAGCAGCATTCATGTGTCTGTGAGTGTGCATATCTATGTACATATGTATTTGCAGTTTGCAATTGCAGTTGCTGCAGCCCGTTGATAGAGTTAAAGCTCAGGTTGCGCTAGATAGCCAATTACCAAGGCCACCCTGTAGCCGCCATGCACCCTGTGCTTGTTATCCACGGCGGCTGCGGCTCACGATGATGAACCATCGACAATTGAGAGAAAGACCGTGAGAGGCAGAGGGAGGGGAAGACGAGCACAGCTGGCAGATAAGCTCGATACGAGCTTTGGCCATTTTGACATTGTGTTTTAAAAAGCGCGATAAGCTTTTGTTGTTAATGCTGATGTTTATTATTTTTTATTTTATTTAATTTTTTTCTCTTCATTTTTATTTTTGTTTTTGTTTTTGTTTTTTTTGCATTAACCGTTTGTGAAATCGTACCAGGAAATATCAGCAGATAAATAACAATAACAACTAACAGCAGCAACAACAACTTGCATTACAAATTACAAAATGTTGTTTTCGTTTTGTGTACTCGCATTAAGTTCAATTCTTGTTGTTGCTTTTTGGACAGCGCATTTGCATATCAACTGCGATAAAGCAGTTACCACGCGAGGGGGCGGGGGAGTAGGGGGCACTTGGGAACGTTTGAGTCTTGAGTCACACAGCCCCGTAAACAATTGCGATATCGACTCCAGTCGAGTCGCTTATCGAAACTGAACTAGCTAAAAAGCACTTGCTTTATAATATCAAATTTAGAATAGGAATAGGAAATACTTAAGCCAAACGAAATGAAACAGGAATAATGAAAAAAGATAATTTCTCATTAAAAGCACATACTGCAGCCAAAGCGCTGTCACTGCGTAAACTGCGCAGTAAGCAGAGCGTGTGCGTGTGCTTGGGTGTGTGTGTGTGTGTGTACATGTGTTGTTTGTCATGGATAAATAAAAGAGGCGTAAAATAAGTGAAATAGCAGCTGTGCACAGGCATCAAGTAAATGTTACACTCCCGACTAGATCACTCTTACTTGTTGGCTTATGATATGTGTTTGCTGTAGGTCAAAGAGTGTCGCTTCACTTTTGGCTTCGATCGTAGCTTTAATCATTTAATTTTTTATTTTATAGCAAATTTAATGAAAAAAGTTTCCGCTGACGACATCTGGTTCTTAATCTTATGCATTTAAGCTTAGATACGATCACAATCTTTAAAATATATAATTATCTTAAGATTAAGTCACGAATGCTAATCTAACTGCTATTGATATTTTAGTAAATTCTTTTAATAAAAAATATTATTTATTATTATCATAAAATCAAAAGTCAAATCAAAATTCCTAAAATAACGCTCTTTTTATATATATGTATGAACTGATAAATTATTGATTATTTTTAAATTTGTTTTCATTTTTTTATATTTTTGTTTAATTTGTCATTCGAAATAAATGTGTGAAGACGAAGACTGGCGACTGCCACTAAAATATCTTATAGATATAAATATATATATATATATATATATATATATAGTTTTTATTTTTAAAATATAACGCTTATCTGGGTATGCCTGCATGACTCTATCGTATGGAATTTTTCAAGATCCATTTGGTGAGTGATCAATTTTCAGAGACAGCTGATTTGAGCTGAGCAAGCGTTATCAAGGTTTTCAGTTTCATATCAATCGAAATAAATACGAAATTCGATGCTCGAGTTGTGATAATGTTTTGTAGTCAGTTTTGAGAGACAAGCGGAGAGTGAAAAAGCTAAACAACAAACTTGAACAGCTGTCCGCTGTACAGATAGCCATGTTGTTGTTGCTTTTGTTGTTGTATGATTTGTACAGTTCGCGCTTATCAGCTGATCTGATGGCAAGATTGTCGCGCTTTGCTTCAAAATGAGAATGAACTGAAAACAACGACAGAAATTGTAGAAACAGCAACAACAACAAGACCAATAACATCAACAACAACAGCAACAACAAACAACAAAAGCAACAAAAATTGTTTTATGTATTTTGAGTTTTTAGTTGTCGTTGTTGTTGCTGTAGCTGTAGCTCGTCGTCTGGCTGTTTTATAACAATTTCAAAAGATTTTCAACAAATGATAAAAATGTCAATGTGATTTGGCTTGTCGGATTGTAGCCGGGGCAGCGGCAACGCCAAGTATGCAGCTACTATGCGATTATATATGGATACACTGAGAAAAAAATTACAACAAAAATGGTTAGTGGAAATCTTATTCAATTGTGGTCAAGAGAAACATTTTTGAGGCTTAGAACGTCATTTCTTTGACCTGAATACACTGAGAAAAGTGACAGGAATTTTTGGTAGACAATGTATGAGCAAATGTTGTCAGAGCTTGGTCAAGATTGAAATGAAGAGTATCTTTATTTCAGAACGTTTCATATTTTTTTTAAATATAATTAAGAAATATTGCTCTTTGTTCTAGAAAATTGCTGATTATGTATGGATACACTGTGAAAAAGGCGACTTGTTTGCTATTCAAATCGTGCATAAATAATTTTCTTTGGCTTAGATTAGTCTTTTTGAAGCTTAACTTAAATAAAGAATACTTAAATTTAAAAATTTCTCAGCTCATGCTTAAATTTTATATTTTTAGCTAAATTTATAAATTATTTTATTTCATTTATTTCATAACATTTG